GGTCCTGACCCTCCCTCCCCCCTCTTCGATTTCGGAGAAAATCACAGCAATGGTCCACTCTCGAAATAAGAATTTCGACTAGCTGAATCACAGTTCGAAATGGCACCATACTTTCTCTAAAATATCAAAACTTTTCGGGTCCCTTCAGTAAATATACGCTAAGGAGGGGGGGGGGAGTATCAGCTATGCATCAGCGGATCCACCGCCTTTAAATGATCCTGGATCCGCCCCTGCATCAGGGAGTAATCAATAACGCTGGCGATAGCATGATATAAAGAAGGAGGCAGTTCTACCTCCCCTGGCCCTCAATCTCTACCTAACGTAACAACTAGAACAATTCTGACTTCACCTTAAGTGTTATGGCCACGTAAAACTCCACCCCACCCTCTGTCGAGAGAGTTTTGGGAATCCAATGCGGCGCAGTTTGGCTGCTGTACAGGTCAGCCCACCTGACAGTGACGTACACATTTTGTAGTATATTTGCATAACAGTCTCATGGCCCTTTTTAAATTAATCTTAATTACAATCCGAGGAGGATCCTTTCGTACAAATCAGAGATCATTGCGATCAGATGTGCACAAATGAAGAATTAAGCAAAAAAAGTACTATTGACAATGAAGATTACAAGCACTACATGAATACTACAACTTGTAAGCCATGCATGATTTTTATAACTTCTGTCAATTTAACGATTGCAACCCTAAATGCTTAGATTTCTTCGTTGGCACCTTCACTATCTATTTATGATATTTAAAAAGCGGGTACAACGGTTTTTGCTGTTAGACAAATTCTATTATACTCTATTTAATTCATTAATTTACTAATTTATTGGCAGTGGCATTCTTTAATTTTGTTTTTTACGTCTTTGAACATTGTTTATATTCACAATAGTTTCATTTAACAGTTTATCTGTAGAGAAGGGGAGCAACGCCTGGCTCGGCGCTTGGTGGATTGGGTATATTATAGCAGCGTCTCTTGTGGCGATGATGATTCTCCCTATAGGTGGACTTCCGCAAGACATGCCAGGTTCTTGTCATTAAATTAACATTGGCTATATCTGAGTTTAATTTTTATCAAAGAGGATAGAACTTTGTGAAAAGACATGCTGTCGCAAAGCATATCAGTCATTTCTTCCTTGTTTTATTTGTTCTTATTTTATTAACAATTTATTCTTAGTAGATTTGACCATTTTGCTAGTTAACGAATTTTCAGAAATATGTTATAAAGCGTCTGTATCATTTTGACTATACAGTACTTTTGTATAATAATAATAATAATAATAATAATAATAATAATAATTTCTAGGTTCATTTCCATTTCTAGGCGCGAAAAAAATCCGGGAAAGTAAAATATCAGAAGTGCACACCTCTGCAGACGACAGCTCCAATGACGTCATGACCACCACGCCTACAGGCCTTGAAACCAAGGTAACCGCGAAGCAGTGCTGTCAATCAATACAGGTGCTCTTCACTAATCCCGTGTACATGTTCATCACAGCGAGCGCCATCTGTGAGCAGTTTATTGTGAGCGGATTCACGTATTTTGGGCCAAAATATATTTCTGAGCAATTCTTGACATCTGAAGGACTAGCCGGATCACTGTGGGGTAAGGGTAATCAAAAAGGGTAATTTTTTTTTTTCTTTTGTCCACACTTTCTTTATTTTTCAATGAGAATCGTGCCCTGTTCAATATTTCAGAACATGGTATTTTGTCAGTGATTGTGCTGTTTCGGAAAGATCTCTAAGGCGCGGACCACAGGTACAAATTGAATGATAGATATTTAACTGGGCCTACACATTTCCCTATGTGTAAAGGCATGAACGCTCTTCATTTGTGTCATTTGGGGGAATATTGTTTTCATAGGCGCTGGTTTTTCAGTGGATAAGATGTGTTCAAAGATTTTTTTTTTCCAAAAATTAGTTGTAATTTACAGGATTGGCATTTCTTACGGATAAGGGAAGCGTTGTAATTGCGAATTCAGAATAAGTGTCAGTTTAATTAAAAAAATATTTACTTTTTCTAGGCGGAGGACTGCCCTTTTCAAGTGCACTCGAGTTCAAAATTTGGTATTCTTCAACATGTTTTTGTTTTTGTTTCAGGTGCAGTCGCCATTCCCGGTGCAGTGGGAGGGACAGTGGCAGGTGGAATCGTCATCAAGCGGTACCGTATGACCTGCAAGACCATTCTGAAAACGAATTTCTTTCTCGTCTTCATTTCTCTGCTGTTCGTCCCTGTGTTCTTTCTACAGTGCCCAAATCTGGAGTTTGCTGGGATAACAACGGGATATCACAATGGCAGGTAATAGAGCCTTGTTAAAAGTGACGTGTTATATGGTACTTGATTGGCGCTTATTACAGGAGGAGATCGGTCATCCATACCATCTTTCACCGTCCTCGGAGAGAGGGTCAGAATTATAATCCCAACCACCATGAAATTATTCTAAATTACGATTTATATCATAGGCAGGGGCGGATCCAGGTTTATTTGAAGGGGGTCCGGTTTTTTAGGAATGACAGGCCTCTGATTTTAGAGGGCGAACGGTTCCATTTGGTATTTGATACAATGAAAAGATAATTTTTTACCAATCTGATGAAATACAGTATAAAATATTGAACGAACAACTTCAATAAATTAGACCAAGAAGTTCAAGTCTTTGATTAAACCAGCCAGACTTAATCCAGTATTAGTTTATTAATTTTCACACGTTATTGAAATCTGGATTTTTTTTATGAAGTACTAGCAATATATCGCAGATTAAAGCTCGAAGTACTGTCAATGCATTGCATCAAATTGTTTTGATTTGTCAGTTTTAATTGTGTAGTTTAATTGAAAACAACAGTTTTCACGCACGCTAATATACAGAGACGGGCTACTTATTGCCTCGGCCCTTTATAAGGAACGAACAAAACCGGTAGTTTCTAATTTTACCTGGCCACTAACATCATTATCTCGGCTTTTTTTCTCTCCGTAGCACATGAAAAAATAACAAGGTTTTACTTTTTATACCATTCGTTTTTAAAAATGATCCAAAAATATTCATTGGGTGTAAAAGAACATGAGTATGATTAAAGTAATATGTTCAGTTCGTATACGAAGTTCCGATTTAGTACGAGCACCAAAGAAAGGATTATGAAGTAACATACATCGACAACAACACTAATTCATGTAGAGTCATTTTACATCATATCCAATAAAAATTGACAACTGATTTTTAGTACAAGACCCTGAGACTTTTTCACGTTGTTAAATTCCATGTTGTCTGTCGGTTGAAATAAAGAACCCGACGTTTTTTTAACGCGCTGCAAAAAAAGAAAATAAAATGCCGCCTACCTCCAGAATGTTACGACATGTATTGTTATAGGCAGGTATGAACCAAATTCAAACAGGTTAATTCAGCTTTGATGGTAGCTGTCAAGCGCACACGACTACACAAACGTTAAACACAATTACTACACTCTTCTCTCCGAACATGTAAAATTCCAATATCCTTTGATTGACGAGGTGCCAATCAAATTCAGTAAGTTTTGATAGTTGCTGTCAAGTAATAACAGCTTGATTGGCAGGTTATATAAACAAACGTCAATCACAATCATTACACAGTAGATCACTGAAATCATCTAACACGTAAAGTTAGAGCTTCTTACATCCTTTGATTGACAAGGTGCCAATCAAATTCAGTTAGTTTTGATAGTTGCTGTCTAGTAATAACAGCTTGATTGGCAGGTTATATAAACAAACGTCAATCATCGCGCACTGTGATTTCTCTCGCTGTGAAAAAATGGGTACGCCGAAAGTGAGCGCTTTCTGAAGTTAGGATAGTAATTTAAAACTTGCAAAATATTTCAAGAGAATATATACAACCTGTTTACAAAACTAGTTCTCTTTCTGAACCCTTCGGCACTCTAGATGACAAACTATTTTGTAAAAAGAAAAATTTAGCAAAAGATACCAATTAGTAAAGAAATATGACAGTTGACGTTATTTTCTGGGGGTAGTGCATGGGTCATTTCAAAATTAGTACAACTTCATGTATGTACCCCAGTATGTGCGTGGAAGAAGAAAGAATGAATGTTTTTGTATTATGTTTGGAATATTGACAGATTCTTTTACTGTCAAAGTCTACTTTCTGCAAAATAAATAAATAAATAAATAAATAAATAAACGATACTAATTCATCTTCATTAAAGGTGACATTCGTGTTGTGGTTGAGGTAAGTGGTTTAATTTTTGCGGGGCTAAATGTTAGCAAGGACCTGTGATAATAAGTGGATGGGAAAGAAAAATATAACCGTAAACAAAAATATTACTATCCTATATAACAAACAACGACCCCGACAAAAACGGCCCCGACAAAAATGATGTTTTGGAGAGCAAACGGTGCCCTTTGGTACAGTTTAGAACTATGATTTAGCTAGCCAAAATTCTAATTTCAAGAGGGGAATATTGGTGTGATATATTTTTCAGAAATCGAAGGTGGGGTCAGGACCCCTTCACCCCCCTCCCCTCTTAATCCGCCACCGATAGGAGTGAACTGTCGTCTTAACTCTAGTGTGATAACCATATAATGATGTTTGGATGTTTTGAGACTGTGAGTTAAGATGTTTAGATTCGCTCTTGCACCAGGGTAGCACATGCAGGGATATTGATCTCCATGTTGTCTAAGTCGGGGTTTGTTTCATTGAGGTTTGCAAAAGTTTATTGCAGAAACAAGGGTGAATCGGAAACAACAATATTGAAATGTATCCAAGATACATGTAATTAACGATGCATGCTGTCAATCCCATGTTAGTAAAAACAATTTTAAGTATAATGATTAGGCCTAGTTTGACTTATGTATTTAGTTTGACTTAAGCTTTTTTTCTTATTTTTGTGACCGGAGTTTGTTTTTAAATACCATAGGTATGGATAATCATGAAAAAGAATGTCTTGTTTCAGTGACGTTGGCTTCACCAGTGCATGTAACACAGAGTGCGGCTGCTCTGCTCTCCAGTACAACCCTATCTGTGGATCAGACCTGGTCACCTACTACTCCCCCTGCCACGCAGGCTGTCTTAACTGGACCACGATAGGGGGCGCCAAGGTACAGTGTTCGAAGTTATTATCACATGCATTTAGTGAAATCTCGCGACTGTAAGACACAATGCACACCATCGCGGTAGCGTGTCACAAAACCGTTCTTTGGATCTTCCTGTTTGAATGAATCTTGATGTTATTCACAAAGGATTTTATTACGTGCCTTTGTAACAATGAAATAATTAATCTGACGCCTCCAAAGTTGCACATTTTTACGTAATGTACTTGTACATTAAGGATCTGTGATTCTTACTTCTAAATTGCTGGCAACTAACAAACAAGTAAAGAGACTACGTTTTTCACAGAATGATCCCGAATTCACCGGTATATCAGACCACACTACCCGTTTTCAAGGTGTGTGTCGGTACGCATTTCACAGTATCATACCCCGGAACAAATTTTGAGATGAGATGCACTACTTTCCAACCCCGCTGAGAATCATCACTATCACATCGCGTACTGGGCAAGAGCGGTGTCGCGTCTGATACTACAAAGCGCGTACTGACGCACACCTTGAAAACGGGTAGTGTGGTCCGATATACCGATGAATTCAGGATCATTCGGTGCCGAGTCTGGTATAGTAGTTGGTTAGGCCTTTTTTCAGTTATTGAACAACTGTTTTTTTTTTTTTGTTTAGACGTATACGAACTGCAGGTGTGTAGCAGCGAGTCCATCAGTGAATGCGACTGCCGTGGACAATGCCTGTACTGGCCTGTGTCCAGTGGCGCCATTGGTCGGCTATCTGGTCATACTCCTCATACTTATGTTATTGGTGTTTGCCGCCAGTGTTTGCGGAATTATGGGAACGTTAAGGTATTCATTTTTAACTCCTCTGAACTCCTCATCTTTTTGTCGAGTTGTTTGCCACAAGTATGGGCGGCGGTTTATACAAAAATTAAAAACACGATTAGACGTCGTCGTTATCAGATCAGACGGCAAAATACGACTAGTCGTGAAAATCTGATAACGACGACGTCTAATCGTGTTTTTAATTTTTGTATAGACCGCCGCCCACACTGCAAGGCGTCGATTTGGCGTCAGAATTGTCGTAGAAATTACGTTGTGCGTTAATAGAGAGTTTTGGCAAGGCCTTCCATACGACGTATGACGTGCGACGTCATCACTTTGTGCGTAGTTTTTCTCAAGGACAAGTCATAAGTCATACGGCACTACGTATGAATCGGTGATTACACGTAGGTAAGAAACGTATCGAATTTAATAGATTTACGCTTATTTCTTTCAAGTTTAACATACTGCAGAGGAATATATAGGGTGTTAAGATTCCACTGAATCACTTTTAGACGCTGTCGGTAGAAATACTCTGTGAAAACAGCTGGAAAAACAGCCAGTCAATCAGTCGTCCGTAGTAGTATCAAATTCAATTTAAGTTGATTTTTTTTCATAAACAACGGGATCTGCGGTATCAATTGACGTAAATAACACATTCCATTCAACATCTTAATTATTCATCTATCTAAAAAGAATCCAAATATTATAATATTTATATATAATATAAATAAAAATAAATGAAATAACCGCATACGGAGTGAGACCTGCCAAAACCACTGCTAGCTTTCTCGCGTACGTAAAACGTATTACGTATTGAACTATACGTTACACGTCATACGGAAGGCCTTGCCAAAACTCTCTAATGAAGACCGCCATACGCACAAAGAAAACGTTTCATAAATGCTGTAATTAACACCTGCTCTGCTTCTAAATGCGCCCACGCCCAATTTAAATAGTAGATTGTTATTTGAACAAATTTTACACGTCTGTTTACCAGTAGATTCAACCAAACCGTGGACGAGGTGATAAGGAGACTGAAATGTTGATAAGGAGACTTATAATTTTAGACTAAAGATTTTTGGGCTAAAGTTATTGTGTTAGACCATCTCCCTGATGCCCCAGTTCACGCACAATGATTCTTGTGTAAAACCGCTTTTCTTCTTCCCTGCAGGTCAATCCCGAGCTCAGAGAGGGCAGTCGGGATATCCGTCCAGTGGATTCTTCTAAGGAGTTTTGGTAGGAGTTGACTTCTGTCGTTTCAAACTGATCAAACAATATTCATCTTTGAAAATTATGGTATCATCAAATTCCCCGTATAAAACTTTTTGATGAGATTTTGTTCGAATGAGTTGATTTCATGCATATTTCCCTCACATGGAAATACTTTCTGTATAATTATGGCAGTGATGGTACACAAGTTAATTTTTTGTTACTTTTTTCTTTCAGGTTTTATCCCCGGTGGCATTGCCTTCGGGCATTTCTTCGATAAAACATGTCTTCTGTGGCAGACGACATGCGATGAATCAACAACCAGTGCTTGCCTCTTTTACGACAACTGGTCTCTAGGTGTGCACATGCTGATAGTTTGCGGTGTATTAAAGACAACCTCTCTGTTATTCGTCACGCTGGCATGGAAGCTTTATAAACCACCTCTGCCGCCAGATTTAAATTACGACAATGGTCAGGCGGTCAATGAAGAGACAGACAACACTCGCTTGTGATACATGTCGTGCTCTCCGAAAACATGCGATCACCATGAATTTCCTTTATGAGCACATTCTGTTTTTAAGTTATGTATACTGACAGAGAAAGGCATCTTCTTCAGGTCATATGTGACATTTTATAAACAGTATTTTACTTAACATACAGTACATGTAGGCGGAGCAGGCTTGAACATATTGCATTCCATTATTTTTAGCATCTTGTATTTTTATGCATTCATCATACATTGTAACATATGCTGAAAGCAAAATACCTATATGTTTATGTCAATACATTTACAAATGAAAATACAATGAAAAACATTTTTTAAAAAACGTTTTGAGTTCTGACTAATACAAATTTATACAGAGTCATAATTTGATGGACAGATGAATATATCAAAATGGCAAAGTGTAGGATCTTTAACAGGTGTGAAGTACAAAACCTTATTCTTGTTTAATTTATTTGAGGACAAGCTACAAGCTATACTTTCTGATCATAATTTTGATTTTTGATCATACATTATGCACCTAAAATCGGTTGTTAGGGCGACTTCGTCCTTGCTGTAACTGCCATTTTCTTTGAAACCGAAGACAAGGAAATGACCAGTAGGGGTTGGTTAAAATACTACCTTAACCGACTAAGTTACGTAAAAAATCTACAGTAGAATTTTCAGGCCCTGTATCACTTTAGAGTCGGTGTGACAGGCATGGTAGTCTTAGGAATGGAAGTTCAGGGTCCCAATATGATTGGTACAGGTTAGGGTTAGTCGGAGTATTGGGATAAATATATGGGAAGAATGTCGCCTGTGCAAAGAAATGGGGAACGGACTACGGTCCCTAGCTGACTGCCATTTTTGTCACACCAGAACAATTTTGAGAGTTACTTAAAATTTGCTTTATGCGCACAAGCCTCGAAAACCAAGTATCAGTGAATCGTGGAGATTGAATCTAGTCCACACGAAGTCACCCGTCAGCCCGGGCTGCTAAAGTGGACTATGAGACAATTCTCTTGTGGCGTTTAACGAACGATTGATCCAAAACTAATGTAATTGACATATCCTAAATAACACGGAGCGGATAAAACATTCAGAATTTGCTCTGTGGCTGAGCTCAAAGCCAGTGGAGACAGTACCATCAGGAGGATGTTACCTTGCCTTCAGTGAGCGACTGGGGGAGTACCGGTGTCATGTACCAGAAAGTCCCCCATAACAGAGAGTCCGCTTCCCATTCATTTTTACAGATGAGCCTCCCCCTAGATTTTGACCCACTAAGGTCAAACTAACCCTAACCATTATTTCTATATGGAGGGCGGACTTTCTGTCACACAGTAAATGGCTTCCAATCAATGGCTACTGTATACCGGTATATTAGAACATCTATTGCCCTGATTAGGTCTGTCACTTTAGCCACATATACCGGGGTACTGCTTACACAACACTGTATCATTACTACATCATACGTGTACCACTACATCGACTCCCAGTATATCACTCTTCATCAGCGGACATCATGCTATACATGTACCCTGTGCACTGCACCGAAACTTCCAAGCCCCGCTATCGGGAGTACACTATATGTATATAACTTTAAGACAAACCTACAGTATTTTAACCTCCGCCAAGGAGGTTATGTTTTCACCCCTGTTTGTTTGTTTGTTTGTCTATCAAATATGGCGACCCAGTAAAATTCCCATGGGGATCACGCAATAAGCATTCAAGTGGGTCGGCCATCTTTGATCCGCGAATCTGTTAGTTCGCTGTTCTGAATGCGTTCTTAAATGTTGACCCTCATTACTTTTTTTGTCTTCCTCTGCTCTTGCAAATGTGTAGGGACTGCGGTGTTGGTGGTGCCCTAACGAAAAAAGTCCTTTAGGATCTTATAGGATCCATGAAGTGCGTACAGTGGTTTGGTGAGGTGCTCACAGCAGAGCAGATTCAGGAGACCATGCACGCTTACGATAACCCAGTGCCCTGTAGCTATTAATTCACGAAAGTGGACTTTAGACTGAAATACTACCTAAATTATCTTTGGGCCAAATTTTCAATACTGCCCCAGGATAATGAGCGGTAGTCTATAAAGAATCTGATTGGATATTTTTTGCTTTGGGGCTTTCAATTTATTTCAGAAAAGTTGCATTGTGGTGAAAAACATTCAAAAGGCTGTTTTTCATAGACAAATTGTTATTTTATTTAAAATGACAATTTTTAATCATTGTTGATCGTTTAATGTCACTCTTTTGGAAATATCTGTAAATCTTACTTACTGAATAAATTCTAAGCAGATGATTCATTGTGTTGGATTTTGTATGAACATGTTAATTTTATTTCTTTCCTAATTTTGTTCAACTTCCATAACCAGATTCGGAAAGGAACCCTCCTTCTGTTGGTTCTTCATATAAGTACAGGATGAATACCGTGAATAATTTTACCATGGACAGGCCTACCCAACTACCAGACTCGGCACCGAATGATCCTGAATTCACCGGTAGATCAGACCACACTACCCGTTTTCAAGGTGTGAGTCAGTACGCATTACACACTTGCATATATGAATAGACCAGTATGTGTGTATGTGTTTACGTACGTATGTATATATTTACGTACGTATGTACGCACAGTGCATGTATGTACATCTGTATGTAATTAGTACGTTTGTGTGTTTGTCTGCATGTCTGTCTGTGCATATGTATGCACACGTAACTTGTATGTTTGTGCGTATGTGGGTGTGTGTGTGTGTGTTTGTGTGAGTGTACAAACATGGTTTTGTAAATAAAAGTACGTCAACAAAGTATTTTCATCGAATAGCCAGTATATTTTATTTGTAGTCGTGTGACTGTCAATGCGAATATGACTGGAGCGCCTGTACCGCTTCTTGTGGTGGTGGACTGCAGACGAGAAGATGTAGTGACACGAGCATCGTCACGCGGGTGTGTAATTCTCAACCTTGTGGTAGGTTAACGTCTTCAAACTCTTGAATTAGCATGGTATAAGAGGAGTAGTATGAAATGGACGCCAGAGTTCTTTTTTACGTGAGGATTGTGTGAGGATTGTTTGTTTGTTTGTTTGTCTGTCTGTCTGTCTGTCTGTCTGTTTGTTTGTCTGTCTCTTTGTCTATCTGTCTGTCTGGCTCTTTGTTTGTCTGTCTGTCTGTCTGTCTGTCTGTCTGTTTGTTTATCTATCTGTCTCTTTGTTTGTTTGTCTGTCTATCTGTTTGTTTGTCTGTTTGTCTGTCTGCCTGTCTGTCTGTTTGAATGCTTTTTAAAGTCTTATTTATTTTTTCTTTGTTTTTGAAAATCTTGTCTGTTTTGATTTTCACTCTCGTCTCATCTTATAGGTAAAAGTGCGCTTGCACTGAAGTTTACTAAGAGGTAGGAGGGAGAGTGAACGCAGACTTAATATTAACCCCATTTTTTTCAGACACGCCAGTCTTTAGTACAGGGATCGTTAATTTATTGTTTGTGGGGGGGGGGGTAAGATCATTGGAAGAGCATGCTCAGGAAACCTTTTTTCGGGAATGAGACATAACAGCCCGTTTCTATTCTGACTTTTTTATTTTTTGAATTAAATACTCAATAAGAGGTGTCACCTTAAACATTTTATGTATCAATTGTAATACCTGTAAGGTGACCAAACAAAAGTCAGGCGAGATTTTTAAGCCTTGTTTTCCTGATGCCACAGCATTCAAAATATAAAACATAATGATATAAATATTTCCCAGAATATTTAGAAATTATGTATTGACTGGTCCAAAATATTGTTGTATATAATGCTTCCTTTTTCGAACTTCAATAAATTGTATATATCTGGATGAAAAGAAGTATCGTTGGAAAACTTTGACAAAACATAAATAACCCTAATAAAATCAAGGCTATTCTTGACTAACTAAAAGCTAGGTTAAAACTCTTATTTGTGTGGATGTATGTGGATGCGACGGGGGG